TGTTGTAAACACGAAGGCAGTGTTTAAGTTAACAGATAAAGGTTCGGTAAATAACGTCTCAAAAGATGCGAGTGCGCACATTTTAGTAAAGACAGCTAAAGAATGTTGGTTAAAAAGATGCCATAATAAAAACGAAATGTACTGGGTTATGTTTATAAACACATGATTTGATATGTTTCTTTTGCGCGAGACGTGTTAGATTTCTCAGTTAATATTGATAACTCTAAGTCTCTCATTGAACTATTTTTTTTGAAAGCGCATGGGAACTCCACTCATACTCTAGCTCAGTTGATTTGTAATGAAAATAAACCAGAGAATCACACAGGCATGCGTGACTTAACTACACATAAACACATTGTAGAAATACCAGCACTCATGAGCCACAGGAAAACCTCAATCATAATGCTATATTAATATTTATATAGGGCAGTAAAATGTATTAGGGGTCCGCGTCCGCCTTTTATCTACACCCGGGTGAACTGTATGTGCGCAATTACGAATGACGATCAACTAGGACGAAACTTTAGAATTAAGTTAAGTACAATTGCCAGGTTACTACCATAGAATCTATCTGTAATTTGAATACTGTATATCTAGCGTAATGATATTATGTTCTGGGGTCACGGAAAGCAAGTCGCGCAATCAAGATCATAAGAAAACATTTGCTATTTACTGACGCCTACGATCAAGTCTTCGTTGTAGTTTCGATGCCATGATCGTTGCACGATTGCTCCATTTCGCGATAGCTTTTCAGCTTATCATCGGCATCTGGTTCGTCAATGGACCCTTAATGTATGGTCCGAAGTGTTCTTACTGCCTGACAAGGCTGACATTGACCCGCGTTCATGGTCTTAACTTTTGTTCTTTCTTAGTATTGCATTGGCAGGAAAACATTTTAATCGGTGTCATTCCTTTGGTAACTTCTCAATAGCTAAACTTGATGAAGACATATTTCTGCCACGTTTAATGACCGAATTTAGCTGGCATAAAATCGCTTCTCTTGTACTACATACTATCATTTATCTAAAGGCGCAATATGCGAGTTCCTATTGTGACGTATTAGTTACCAGTTTCCGACTGTCGCGGATTTCAAAAACTTTTGCCGTTAAAATTTGAAATTTTCAAACTTTATCGCTTTATTTCTCCGCGAAAAAAAACTCAATTTCAAATGTGATTACTATTTTCGTAATCTACGTTTCACGGCGATTCTAATGAGATAAATTCCAATTTTATGACATGGGCACTTTAATACCTCGTATTGTAACTAGTACTAACGAATCGTTCCCATGCAGTCTTTAAGATAGAAAACTGAAGTGGATTATTTCAGTATTGCTGTTAACCAAGTTCGAGGAATTTATTTAATTAATCGAAATCTGCAATATATATATAACCACTTAGTTTATACCAGCAAGTAATGAGATGTTGCATATACAGAGCCACGCGGATTCTGCGCATATTACCTGAGCGAAAATAAAGTTCCTTCGACAGTCTTGTAAATTAAGAATTAAAAGCATTCGCAGAACAGATATTAATTGAGCCATCAAGAATTTCCATAATTAGTTTATTTTAAATCGGTTTGGTCAGCTTCACACGGAAACCCTGCCAAGACCGAATCATGGTGGTTGGACCGTTGGATTATATAACCTTCATACAATTCCATTATCCATCGTGTTTGTCCTGTTCTGGTCGCGTTGCCGCGCACCGCAGTGTCGTGCGCTTCTTATATTACATAGCTTGAACCTAATAAACTACAGACTGCGCTGAGCACAATAGAAAAACCAACAAACACTGTCTAATATCTACAACGACAGCTAACGTTTGCTGAGGGTGGAACAAAAGCGATATAAATCAATCTCGCACCCAGGCGCGAAACTTAATTGCCGGCGATTGATGATCGAGCTTCATACTGCTTCGATCATGAGCCGGCAAAAATATAAAGAAAAAGATTATAATTAATTGTAAACTCGTGGCAAATAAATTACCGAGCACGCAATCGTGCTATTAACCTCAATATATGAGAACGTTCCTGTAACTGAAAGGAAATTAGATTTGTCCATGCATAGAATAGCTCATTAGATGAATTGAGTTTACCCGAAAAAAAAAACGCAAGAGCGTCGACATTTTAACCCAGACTGAAGTCCTTTCGTCTGAAAGTCGTTCATCGGGCGTAATTTACTATCCATATTTAAGAGATAAATCTCTGTTAGATTTTAATATTTTCAAATCTGATACACTGTTATCAAATTTTTGGGCTTAGCTAAATCCAAGGTTTTAAAGAATTTGCATGCTGTAAATATTTGAGGAGGCTAACACCGTGATTAACACTGAACTATTTCACACAGATATTTGTTCGATATAAATTTTGATACAAATTCTTTAAAAGGAAAGATTAAGTGGAGATTTCCCTCTCTGCACGATTACAGAAACAGCGACTGTATAAGTCAGTCCTTATAGAGGATTATTAGTTTCGGTCGGGCTTTTTCAAAAAGAAAATATCCACTAAAGACGGAGTGGCTAGCTTTACTTCAATTGTACAGAATACAGCTTTTAAAAAAACGTAAAGCGCTTATAGTTAACCTATTTTTACATTGGAATCCAAACTATATTTCCCATGTATAGTGTGGTACGGTAAAGCTCCAGTAATCTAGCGCTGCAGGTTTAGGCCACGGAAAAATTGTGTCACTATTTTTAAACAAACTGTCTTCGTTTAATATTGAGGAGGTCACTCTTATTCCTGCCCACTTATCTTTCATATATAGCACAGTCCTGAAATGAAAATGTGAAAAACCTATTTCATTTTGAATCTAGATATACCTATGCCTGTGGCATGCTAAGTTTTAGTTACTATATGAAAGCAAACTTTCATTCCTATCAGCGTGAACAAAACAGCTTCCTACAATATTGCCATAGGCTTTAATTCCGCGACAGTTTAGGTGTCTTCAAATTCCGGTACGATTTCATTAGTTTTACACTGGTAAATTTAGACATGATGGTTATAATCACTAGTTCCTTCCCATATTTAATATAGGTTCCCACTGGTATATAGTAGTTCCAACAAAAGTTGGTGAATATTGCAAGACATTTACTATACTGCACTGTCAGATTAAGATTTGAGCCATCAACAATTTCATTTGTATTGTTCAATATACCGATATAACTTTACTCCCTCGCAAGTTAACGTTGTATTACTCAGTTGTATAGTCTTTTCACAAGCTAAAAATAGTCGATATATGCAACGTGCTGTGAAGATAGTCAACGACTCTGTCCTAGAATAAATTAATAATTTTCAATCAGTATATACCTCTATATTTTAGTTCAGTTGGAAAATAACATTAACATATACACTTCAGATTTCCGAGTGGAAATTGAAATGGCGCCTCGATAAGAGCTTGTACTAATATGGATGTTACGATAATAACCTGTTTTGGCAAAGAAAGTGCAGTGCTGTGTGTAGAACTGGACTGCCTTACACTGGATGGCAGTATTACTCAAGTCTAGTCCGGGATTTCAAAAACACATCTTTCGTTTGGGTAGTGCATGGACATGGTTACAATGCCCTTGTCTGCTCCACTGGGTTTAGTTTGCTTACAGGTTTTGCGTAATGTCGTTCAAAGCTGGATACCCAAACGCCCAGACGTACATCATATTGACCCATTGAATAGTTTTACCGAACTAAGCTGAACTATTAATGCCGGATATCATCATCATAACTACGAACCTTTCTTTTGAAGGATTAGAGTTTAGGAACTTGAAAACTAAAATCTGTCATCATGCACTTTTTGCGGAAAGGCATCGAAGGACCAAGGGAAAGGCCACGGTTTTTGATACAGAATTGAAGCTCCAGACAAGCCTTCATGTCAGCAAAAACCTTTTTTTCAGAAGTTTCAATCAGCAATAATATCCGTTATTTCGTCAATGGTCGCACCCTATAGCATGCAGTATGTCTCATAGAAATTGTTTAGTCACGTACAAATAGATAAAAAGCTCTTGAAATAAATGTTTCCGTTATAAATTTGATTGTGATGGTGCATGATTCATTAAACTAGAGAGATTTAACTAATTGTTTTAAAAAAATGTAGCCAAAGATTAATGGCAGTTTCAGTTAGAAGATGATTCTTAAATTATGACTGACAGAGAAGAAGTGTTTTTTATGTAACTTCTGAACGATTCAATTTACTATCGACAACATGCTGTTTCCCAGTTTTACAATCTTTCTCCCCTATTCATACAGTTATGGCTCTTAATTATTTTTCATTGTCTGCGCTTATCACTCCGCTTCCCAAACTACGGCCACTGTCAGATTAATGGAAATACGTATAACACCCTCCCCTTCTAACACACCACAATCATTGCCATGACAGAGACAGTTGCTACTATTGTCCGTAATCGGGTTATTTCTCCGTCTCTTAATTCAGAGTAGCATACATAGCCTGACAATTTATTCCTGCGATACCAATATTTTGGTGTTCATTGACTGTGAATTTACAGAAATCATTAATTATAACGACTTGAAATTTGCATAGCAGAACTCAATCATTAGGCTGACTACGCCACTGCTTCTTCATCACTGGAACACGAATAACTGAGACATCCATGCGGATTCTTCTTACTATAAAAACTATTTCCATACATCTTTCATCGTAAAGATTTCAAAAATGTTTTCCAGTGTTTCTAGTGACGATTCATAGAGTGTAGATCATCTGATGAGTATATTTAAGCATAACGGAAGTGATAACCATTGACTGACAAACACTTTTCTGATTTCAGATTTCGTAAGCTGAGAGAATCATATGGCACGAACCAAACAAAGGAGTACTTTATAAAAGTTCTACCTCAAAACAGGATCAGGATTGTTTGCCCGAGTGAGATCACTGTAAACGATTGGATAGAACAACGTCCCTATAACATGTTTGAAAACTTGTGGCTGGTTGACAAAAATGGCTACGACAACTGCAAAGTGAACGATGATACAAATCCAACAATGAATAAGTTGCTATTAAAATGCGATAACCAACACCGCGAAAATTACCTATAAAACCTTTGAGTTTCATCCAAGATTTAATCTACTTGAACCATCCTTTGTGCCTGGACGCCATTACTACTTCATCGGTAAGTTTTCACAGTGGATGAACTGCATTGTTGCATTGTAGTAAAATGAAATTAAATGGAAACCAGTCACGTAGAGTAAGAGAAAAGTAAAAACGAAGTGAGCCCATCCAGAGGAAGTTCAGTAAATAAATAGGAATACTTTATGTATTGACTTTGTAGTGAAGTCATTTGTTTTTCTCATCTAGGTACTGGTGACGGAACAAAAGCTAGTCTCAAGGCCAAGTCTGGTGGTCATTGCACAATGTATCACATGAAATTGCATATCTATGTCTGCGATCCCAAAATAGGTTAGTAGTAGATGATGAGGTTGATGTAATAATGTAATAGTAGATGATGAGGTTGATGTAGTAGTGTAGTAGTAGATGATGAGGTTGATGTAGTAGTGCAGTAGTAGATGATGAGGTTGATGTAGTAGTGTTGTAGTAGATGATGAGGTTGATGTAGTAATGTAGTAGTAGATGATGAGGTTGAGTTGTGTGTAGTGTAGTGATGAGGTTGATGTAGTAGTGTAGAAGTAGTGATGAGGTTGATGTAGTGTGTTGTAGATGATGAGGTTGATGTAGTAGTGTTGTAGTAGATGATGAGGTTGATGTAGTAATGTAGTAGTAGATGATGAGGTTGATGTAGTAATGTGTAGTAGATGATGAGGTTGATGTAGTAATGTAGAAGTAGATTTTATGTAGTGTGTAGTGTGATGATGTAGTAATGTAGTAGTAGATGATGAGGTTGATGTAGTAATGTAGTAGTAGATGATGAGGTTGATGTAGTAGTGTAGTAGTAGATGATGAGGATGATGTAGTAATGTAGTAGTAGATGATGAGTTTGATGTAGTAATGTGGTAGTAGATGATGGTGTTAGAGATGTGGTGGTGGTAATGGTAATGAACATTCTATTTTGTGTTTTTCTTATGAATATTCTGTTTCGATTTCATTATGCGTATTCACTCAAACTAAAATAATGTGTGTTCCAAACAGAGACCTGCATATGGGAACAACCGTACTGCGAACCAACGTATGAATTCAAAAGGGTCATGACAGCCTACAGTCGAAAACTACCACCACCCACGAGGGCCCCAGAAACCCTCCCCTCTCCTCGAAGAACCTCCCCGAAGAAAGTGTTAACGGTAGCTAACCGTCCAACCACGTCCTTAACAACGAAGACAAACGCTGGAAGAACTGAAAGCCAGAAGAGTCATGAGTGTGACACAGATGATGATGGAGGTAACCAGGATCTCTTTTAAGAAAGTGTTCGTAACAAAGCCGTCATTTGAATAGCGAGTGCCTGGTAGGCTATTTGCAGCCATTACCGCCGTAATATACACATGCAGTAATAGTATCTCAGTGCATACTCTCTATTCTTCATTCTTACAATGTCACCATTATGTCACTTTAGTTAAGTAACCTCGATAGCATGGTTTGGTTCAAAATAATCATTTTATAATGAGCGTTGATACCGTGTGAGGAAAATCAAAGAATTTGTGGAAACACCCTTCGTGACACAAGACAAAATACTATACTATTTTTGCTGGGTTACTCTACCAACTCTTTGCTTGGTTTCTTTTTCAGATTCAGTGCATATGATTCTTAATTTTGTTCTTGGCGGAGTCATTCTTTTTATGGCAGTCGTCATTGTTATCTTGTCTTGTGGACTAGCGTAAGTTTTGTTTCATCAATAATCTGATTTTAAAATGCAGAAACACTCATACATTTATCGTCTCAGGCGATTTTAAAGATGTTTGTAAATCCAGATTGATATGTAGTTGTCTTTGTGAGTTTTGTCACTACCGACCTCATCTGATCTCCTATGTGGCAATAAAGCCTAAATTTTAGTTCCGTTGTTTCAAACTTAACTTATTTTTCGTGTGCACTCAAAGGTGATAAGAAAGTGTTCAATGGTGGAATAATCTGTCAATAAACTCCAGATATATAGAACAAAAATTATCAAATGTAGTAAATGTGTCACCCGTGTTTTTTTGCTAATTTTCTTCCCTTACTCTTTAGACGAAAATCCGACACAACTCGACCGGCGTCAGGGGCTTTCTCCGCCATATCAGGGCAGGAACCTAACGGCAATCTTTACCAAGAAAGCGCAAGATTCGTCCAACCGATGTACACTCCCGCATCCAAGTCACCACCCCAAACACCATTAAGCGTCAATCCACCATTCTATCTTGCGCCGATGGCCGAAATTCGACCGCGGTCATCTTCCAATAGAAATGGATTTAATAATGTCGTATACGGCAGGCGGCAGGACAGCGTCGATGCGCAGGCAGGAAAGGGATAGAAATGATCCCGATGCTACCCGACAATTATCCGAATGCTCCCGAACCAGTATAGAGTTGAAAACAGGATAGCAAATTCAACTCAATGGCATTAGGAAGTCCGAGAGAATGTCCCATCGAAAACTGCCGGCCAATTTTTGGAGATTTGCTGAGCACACAGCTTTATGCATAATTTATGCGGGCGATGGTAGCCATATTGGGCGAATCTACAAATCTTGGGTTTGTTTTCAAAATGCCAACGTCCGTATAGGCATTCAACAAATTCTGCTCGCCTTAATGTTGAAAAAGAGACAATAATTTTATGGTGCAACTTTCTTACAAATCAGAAAGCATAAACGACATTTTAGAAACGTTTAGACATTGGTCATTAGAAATTATAGAAACGATATATGTATATCACCAAAGAACACACAATTCTTCACGGGAAATTGTAGAACATTTTCACTAGGGTAATGTGAATATAGTTTTGTAAATATTTTGTTCTCTTGTTAAAACGAGAAAACATTTTAGTCTATGTAAATATATATATGAAAAATTGTTATTCTAAAGTGGTCCAAATCAAGCCGGGTTACAACGGCAACGTGGACCGCGAAGCGGAGGTAATAAAACCCTGCGTACGAGGTTGGCCAGGTTAGCACCTCATATATTACCAGCTAGTAGCTGCTGAATGTTCAAATCCAATGGTAATAGGGTCATCGGAACAAAGCGCAATGCATTTAGAAAGACTTTATACGCCACTTGAAATGACTATATCACGAACGTTTTTTTACAAAAGTAAAGGTTACGGCATAACTTGACTTTAACTTCTTTAATAAAATTCGGTGACTTGCATCCTCAAAATATTCAAGTCATTTCATATGCACATATTGCCGGTGTGACATCAAACCACAAACCACGTACAATGACGTTTTAGAAATGCAAATTAAAAACATTTTTTTACAAAAACCAAATATGTTTTATCGTTAGTTTAGAAATTGATACGTATACGGATGTAATTTAAAGTTTAGATATGTATTTGGTGATAAGATTTTTTCATAGCAAAGGTTTTCAGTGAGGGTTTAAAAGCATGTTACTATAGTTCCACAAAAAAATTATCAGTTTTTTTAGTAATCTTTAGAATATAAAATTTTGAGGTAAAATTTTTTGTCATAGCCACTTTAAACATCTGTCAGTCAGTAAAGGATTTGAACGATAAAAGCATAAACACTTAACTGTTGAGGCACCTATACGACGTGGGAAAATATATGCTTAATGCAGATTATCAATTTTTACGTATATCCAGGCAGTGTTCGTCCTTATAGTAGAATAAAACCCCCCCACGGGAATTTGTTTTTTTCCTACTTGTGAGAACGAAAGAAAGATTTATCCTAAAATTTTAACAAATCAGGACTTCTACAAGTCATTTGTACATAGCTGTCCCCACAGCTGGATAGGGATGGCGATGGAGGGAACATAGAACTTTCGAAAAGAATAACTAATATTTGTCCTCAGTATTAACTCTCCATGCTCTCTCCATAGTGGCCATGTTGAAAGAAATTTCTCCCAATTGCGGAAGCTCGGATTAAACCAACATTCGATTCCGAAATGCAAATTATAGCGGATTCCATTTGACTGCAAAACAACAAGCGTTCGCAACGCATGTTGGGTCTTAATATATGACATTTAAAATGTCACATTCACTGTTTCCAAGAAATGGGCGGAGCGTTCCATTTGTGCTTTGAGCCTTTGACAACTATGCTTTGACATAGTTGCAGTGTTGTTGAAAGAAAGTGCTTTAAGAAAAGTGCTTGTGTTGAAAGAAAGTGCTTTCCATGATTGTAGGATCGCCATTTCTGATGACTATCCACATTTTAAAATACCGCAAGCGTTTCGAATATGTTTACATGCAAGAATGCGCGCCAAAACCGTGTGACATTTCAAAATTCAAACGTCATATTCTAAACGACCCAACATGCGTTGCGAACGCTTGTTATTTTGCAATAAACCGGAATCCGCTGTATTAGCAAAGCGAAAGTGGAAGTGTTGCACTTTGCTTTGAGATATGTTTGAAAATGTCGGGGGAAATTTTTCTGAAACATCATCATTGGTGTATATTTTAGCGACGAAATGTAGAGCAATGTTTAGCGAGCTGTAAGGAATGGCATATTGCCCTTCAAGAGTTGATAAATATGGCTACGATTCGAGCCGGTTTGAAAGTACTGTCGACGAAAACCTTCATTGTTCAATCTGCTACAACGTCCTTAAAGAACCGAGAACGTGTCGAAATAACGATCATGTCTTTTGTCTTAGCTGTATCACAGAGCATCTCAATGTTAACCGCCAAAATTGTCCCGAATGTGACGAGCATTTGACTGTGGATACCCTTCGGCGACCGCGTGTGTTAAATAACATTTTGTCCAAATTGAAAATCAATTGCGATTACGCCAATCGTGGATGTCCTGAATTTTTCTGTGTCGAAGATTTGGAGACTCATGTTGAGAATTGTGGCTATGCTCCTGTGTTGTGTTCAAACGAGAATTGTGGTATGGAGATCAACAAACGAGAGGGGGTCCATCATGAGACCGAAGTTTGTGAATTTCGGAAAGTAAATCCCCCTGACTGTAATCGGATGCAGGGAATTATACAGGAAGACATTGCCGGGGTACTGAAAGAACAATTTATCGAACTGAATGAAAACGTGGAAGCGACGAACAGAGAGATTAAGAACAATCACGTTGAGATAAAAAAGATTGTTGGGACTTTGGAAGGAAGTTTAATGAGAATTAACAAGAGGATTAATGAAAAAGTGGAAACAATAAACGAATTTCAAAATGAAGCAGAGCGTGAAGTGAGGAAAGCAGTCGAGGGAGTCAGAGAAGAAGTACAGGATGTGAAAGGAGATATTTTAAAGGTGAGCAAAGACGTCGACGATGTTAAAGTCGTGATGAGTCAAATTATAGAGAAGTTAAATATCCTTGAAGAAGCCGTCAGACCGTTGTCAACGGCTGATGGAAGCTCGAAGGAACAAAGAGAAGATATTTTAATTGCAGGTGGACACAAAAATGAGCGACATACAGAAATATATTCGTGGGAGAAGAATGCTTGGTTCGAAGTGTCGCCAATGAACGAAAACCATTACGGCGCTTCATCATTTATATACAATGGTCAGCTTTTTGTTGTTGCGGGATTGAGGAATCAAACAATTGAGACAATTGATTTGAACAAACTTCCATTAAAATGGATGAAATTTCCCGGTAAACTTCCCTACAAGTGCGATGATCATCGAACTGTTGTTTGCAAACAGCGTGTTTTTCACATTGGTGGATATAATTTAAATGATAAAAATTGGTCCAATACGGTCAGTGAATTAATACTTTCCTCAACCTGTGTTATGAAAAAGTTGTGTCAAATGCCTGAGCCACGACAATGTCATGGCGCTGAAGTTTTTGATGATAAAGTATTAATTCTTGGTGGGCAAAAATCCTTTGAAAATGGCGGAGTTTTGGACAGTGTGTTATACTTTGATCCGAAGAATAATAAATGTACTCAGATGCCACCATTACCACATCCCTTGATGAGAATGGCAACAGTTCGTTGGAAAGATCAAGTAGTTATGCTTGGTGGTCGTAAAAAGAATGACCAAAACGTGAATGACGTGTTTCTGTATGACAGCAAGACGGGTAAAATCACAGTCTTGCCATCCATGTTGGAAAAGAGATCTGGTTGTTGCGCGATTATTACTGGTAATACCATCGTGGTCATGGGTGGTTGGAAAAAGGAACACCAACCCGTAAATTCTGTTGAGTGTTTTACAATGGGTGGTTATGCATGGAAATTTCTTCCTGGTATGAATAGAGCAAGATACAGTGCAGTTGCTGAAGTTTTACCACCCGTCAAGAAATACGTTTAATATGATCAGTTGACAGACAGATCAGTTTAGGCGATCATTAACATGTATTCAAGTCGCTACATGTTTTCCGTAATTAAATTTTCTGCTCGATGGTAAAAAAGTCGATACGTGTTCAGCCTGTAATTTGAATTTCTAAAGTAGCGGTAGTATTTAGTAATATAACGTTTTCAGAAAAGCCTCGCAAGGATTGGTATATGCGTGTCGCTTATACGTTGATGTTTATACCTCGTGAATTTGTTTATTGAGGAGTTTACGCAATGTGTGATAAAATCATTATTTTGATTCCGCATCAGGGGTCGGTTGTAAAAACGTAGTTAACTTTAACTATGACTAGCGCTAATCACTGTAATTAAATCCTTAACTATATGATTAGTTAACTACACCACTTAACTGCGTTGCACAAAACGGATCATTAACTAATCACGTAATTAACTGGGCTCTTCCACTGAATAAAAATTAATGCCTGCCGCACACGTGAGCTATTAGGGAGCTTTAGCAGTGCCTCTCGAGGCAAATTCCTCACGAAAAACTAGCTGATAGCTCTCGTGTGCAGCGGGTTTAAGGGAGCAAGCGTAGCAGCATTCCTAATTTCTGCAGTAGGCAATATTGCATTGGCCAATCACCTAGCAAGTTGGACCTGAAGTTCAGCAACATCATTTCATCTGATTAAGATTCCTACTTGCTTTTTGCCGCGAAAACACACGTTCACATGTTTACAGTATACCAAATTGTATTGTCTACTCAGATGGAAGATACTGTAAATGGAAGTGGGAATCTTAAGCCGGTTTTCCACTGGCTATATTTTTCGCGCGAAGCGACATTTTACTTTTGTTTCAGAGTTCTCAACTGCAACCATCTGGAACAAATTGCTCAAATACAGAATAAAGAATAAAGTCGCTTCGCGCAAAAAATATCGCTAGTGGAAAACCGGCTTTAATTAGATGAAATGATGTAGCTGAACGTCCTGTCCAACTTGCTAGACGATTTGCTAATGAATCATGCAATATTGATTATACCGTATATACGGGGGGACAGAACATCCGGTTTGACTGTATGGTTTCGTTATCGCGAAGTCAGTGCTGGACAAAAGCGGAAGTGTTCTCATAACCTCAACATCTGATGCTGTCTGAATTGGCTCTGGATATACTTGAAGTAAACAGAAAGTAGAGGCAAGAGATATCTTTACTATTAGTACGATTTTTATTTACGCCAACAATAAGCAGCGATCGAATTCAGAGTCAGTATTCAACTGAATGGCTTTTTGCACGACGTATGAGAAATATGGCTACGATTCGAGCCGGTTTGAAAGTACTGTCGACGAAAATCTGCACTGTTCTATCTGCTACAATGTTCTGAGAGAACCAAGAATGTGTAGAAATAATGAACACATCTTTTGTCTTGTCTGCATCACCGAGCATCTGACGGTAAATCGGCAAAATTGTCCTGAATGTAACGAGCATTTGACTGTGGATACGCTTCGGCGACCGCGTGTTGTGAATAATCTTTTGTTAAAGCTAAAGATTAATTGCGAATACGCAAGTCGTGGATGCCCTGAGTTTACCTGTGTCGAAGATCTGAAAACTCATGTTGAGAATTGTGGCTATGCTCCTGTGTTGTGTTCAAACGAGAATTGTGGTGAGAAGATAAACAAACGAGAGAAGGCCCATCACGAGACCGAAGTTTGTGGCTTCCGGAAAGTGGAATATCGCGACTATGAACGAATACAGAAAGCTGTAGAAAGAATGGAAGGACGTCTGACGGAGTTGGATGAAAAAATGGAATCTAACCGTAGCGAGGTTAGGAGCAATCGTGCTGAAATGGAAAAGATTGTTGGAAAGTTTGATGAAATTAAACACGAAGTGAAGAAAGAAGTAAAAGAAAGTCTGAAAGAAGTCAAACTCGTGATGAATGAAATGTTAGAAAAGTTGAATGCGTTTCAACCATTGAGCAAACTGCCATCTTCTGCTGAAGGAATGATAAGTGAACACAAGGACGATATTTTGATCGCAGGCGGTTATGGAATGGATGATGAACCCTCAGAAATATATTCCTGGGTGAAGAATGCTTGGTTTAACGTTTCGCCAATGAATAAAGAATACGAAGGAGCGTCATCATTTATCTGTGATGATAAGGTATTTGTTGTCGGGGAGCATAGGACAATAGATACAATGGATCTCAACGAGTTACATTTGGTGAAATGGGAGAAATTTTTAAGCAAACTTCCATGTAAATATGCTTATCATCAAACTGTTGTTTACCAACAGCGTATAATTCACATTGGCGGGAATAATGAAGATGAAGAGGAATTGTGTAACGTTATTGGTGAATTACAACTTGGAACTCCTTGCATCATGAAAGAGTTATGCCGAATGCCCGAACCACGAGGCTGTCATAGCGCTGAGGTATTCGAAGATAAAGTTTTGATCCTGGGAGGACAGAAATCGGAATCTTGTGAAAGTGCTGTGGACAGTGTGTTTGAGTTCGACATAAAGAAGAATGAATGCAAGGAGATGCCACCATTGCCACATCCCGTCACGAGAATGGCGACTGTTCGTTGGCAAGGTCAAGCCGTTATTCTTGGCGGTCTCGGCAAAGATGAAAAAGCTCTGAATGCTGTTTTCATGTATGACTGCAAGACGGGCAAGATCACGAACTTGCCATTCATGTTGCAGAAAAGATACGATTGTTGCGCGGTTATTACTGGAAGTACAATTGTTGTTATGGGCGGTGTGGATGATGATAGTGACGAACTTGATTCAGTGGAGTGTTTTACTATGGGAGCTTCTAAATGGGAGTATCTTCCTTCTATGAATTCCGCCAGGTCCAAAGCATTTGCTGAACTCTTACCTTCCACGAGAAAATAGTATGCATGCCTGAATTTGACATTTACAATTACAATAAATTTTTGCGTTAGCTAGGTCGTTCAAATTTAAATAGTTTCGTTTGAATTTCGTTGGAATATAAGCATAAGCCCTTTTAGTTTTAAAATCATGGACATGACATGACGCTGATGATTACATACATGTTATTCAATATTGTTATTTAAACACGGTATTACATAAATACGGTGTTATTCAATATTGTTATTTAAACACGGAAACAAGATATTTCTGAATAAATAACCTATCCCGCAAATCAAAGTGCCATGTACTGGGTGTATAAAATAATGCAAAACCTAATATTCGAAAATGTTGTGTTGTTAAACAAAGTGGATATTTATGAATATTAAGTAACACCCTGTAGTGTATTTATTACATAGAAAATTTTGCAGATTCCATTGTGTTTACGAACCCGCCAAGATCCAGACTTCAATAAAGTGCTATGGTATTAGATTGTAACAATAGATGATTGGGTTGTTTTGGGTTTCTACGGACACCCTGTTTGGTGATTACCATACGTAACGTATGTCCCAAAGGAGATTTTCACTATTTGACAAGTTGACAAATTTGCATGAAATGAGCTGTTGAGTTTTATTTGAAAATGCCGGCGTTGTGTGTTCGTCGAGCGACAGTCACGTCGTTTTGGAGGTGGAAAATGAGACAACAGATTGAAAGTCTGACTTGATAATTGAGTAGTCTTGTGGTTAAGTGTGGCTACGTTTGGGTAAGTGACAAGAAAAGGACAGTTATGTGTGTGTAAAGTTTGGGTGGCAAGCTGTCGTTTGTTAAGGTAAAGTTGCCTCGTGTGTCTACAGGGTGTATCAAAAAAAACGCAACCACTTAATATTCATGAATATCCTCTTTGTTCTACAACACAAAAGACGTTTGGCCCCAGGAATGCGAGAAAGCTTGTAATCATATTCTAGCGGCACAATCGTCGGTAAACAAAGTCGGATGCGTAAACCAACGAGCTGAATTGAAAGTATTTAACGAGTAAAATTTTATTTACAACTTATTTTACAAGGTCGACAGTTAGCATTCAAGTTATCATGCACGACAATAAAAACTCGTTGTTCGGTTGTTAGCTGCACCATTATTAGTTTAGCTGATTTGACTATTAGCAGTTGAACTGTACGATTAGAAGCCATTTTAGAATCCCAGGGGCATAAAATCTATTGAGCTTATGAACAATATGAATTTTAGAATATTAAGTGTTGCGTTTTTTTTGAAACACCCTGTACATGCGCTAGCGAATATTTGCGATGCAAACTTTTTGACGAAACATTCGAGATATAAACAAGATTCGTTCAAACTGGTTGACAACAGCAAACGAAATGTCTATCATCAGGCAAATGATACATAATCATCGTCTGAAGCTCAGACGAATTTGCTGTAAGTTTGTGCGTTCGTTCAAGCATTCAAAGCCGGCCGATATGGGTCCAACATTACCTAACAGAGGCGACTAAACTTCCATTACTAGATTCCAAGCATGCACGTTGATGACTATGAGATTATACTTTCCTTAGAACAGTCATAAAGGAATCTGACTGTGGGGTCTGTGAAAGCAGTCGTTTGAAACAGTCAACAGACACACTATTGCTGTAAATTCGGTCAAAATTGAGGCGTTTTTCGCTTTATTTCTACCCTAAAATCTAATAGGTACACAAAACACCATGGTTGGGTTACTGCTTTAATGAGACCATATATTGCATGATATGTGTGGCTGTTGCCATTGCCTTTGACGTGCACATGCTTAAACATTGTTAATAAAATAAATAAATAGTATATAGCTTATAACAAAACGATAGTTTCTGGACCAACGATGGTCTGTTCGAAGCTCGTCACGGTTGAATGGCGGTTAGCACTGATCTATAATATAAGTACAGATGAGAAAAAACTATCGTTAAGCCTCGCTAAAATGTTCCAACCTAAGAAAAAGCAATTATAAGTTTGCAGCCATCCACATCGCGCGGAACTGACAGTGGCCCATTGTCTTGAGCTGCGTGTTCTGGGTACTGTGCGTATTTAGGCACTAGTCAGGGGCACGAAAAATATCACGGCTGATTCTAAATCTGGCCAGCCGCTTTGTATATAAGACGTGAATTAAGTGCTAATTTCTGGTCATTTTTCGTCTTAAAATGCAATTCATATTGATTATTGTACGCATTCCACTTATAAAACTATTTTTAATCCTTTCTTTATTTATTCATCATGACCGCCTGGAGCTTGTTCTTCGGCAGACGTATCACGGGATTCTTCACCACTATACCTCTCGCTATCATAATCACGTGATTCATCATCACAATCACGTGATTCAACATCACAATCACGTGATTCGTCATCATAATCACGTGATTCATCATCCCAATCACGTGATTCATCATCCCAATCACAATATTCATCATCCTCTTCATCATCTATATTTTCCATAAAACACAGCAATCTGAAGAACATATCTTGCTTCTTGTCCTCTGGTACTGTACAGAATTTCCTTTCTTCCAACTCATCTTCTTCCATGCTCTTTTCACAGACAAACACAAGAATGTCCAATTTCCTTCCGCGTTCATCAAGCTCGTTTGAGAACTCTTCAAAGGCAGGCAATTTCTTTTTTTTCTTTCTCTTCCTCTTCTTTTTTTCTGGAGCAACCTTACCACGGGAAAATTTGCTGTTGAAAATCCCAGTCACGTTTGTTGTTACGTATTCGATTATCTCCAGTTCGTTTTCAATCTCGCTAGTTTCCTCTTGTATTTCGGCATAGGAATCGTTGATAATGGCGATGAACATGTTCATTAACACCATCACATTCAATCCAATAAACGAGAAAAAGTAGAGTGTTGCAATTGTTGGATTGACCATAAAGATCGCCTCGAAATCGAAGTCTCCTAACGTTATACTGAATTGAGTGACTAAAGTTCTTACAAAGGAACTATATTCCTCAAGTTCAGTGCCGAACATCGTGAAAGCCAGCATTGCAAATGCGAAGAATCCGGAGATAAATGGTAGGCAGAAACTCAGGATTGGAGAGCTTATTCTCGACAATGTTTTACCAATCGCGAGGAAGTTCTTGTTGAATCGTAGCAGCCGTAGGAAACGCAATATGTAGAAAAACACAAGGATTCCAATCACGTAGGTCATCAACGCGTCAGCATTCGCGGCGTGTTGGAAACCAACGTAATCGTTCGGATTCTCTCGGAGCTGATGAATGTTTCGGTCGACTTCGTACAAACGTGCAAGGAACAGAACGATAAGTGAAAATTCAGAGACGATTAGAATTACCTCGACCCAATTCCAGAAACCTTTGAAGTACGCCAATCGTTGCTTATAGACAAGCTTTCCTTCTCTGTAAAGAAAGTAGAGCATAAAGAATATGACCAAAACATGAGCTAGTGTTTGCCCGCCGTTCAAATGAAGATAAAACCGGGCTGCCTGATAGTCGGATCTAACCACAGTCGCGGATGAAGGTCCGTGTTCAATGAAATAGGTAAGGATCCCGAAGAGGTTCGTATTCGCGTTGTATACGGTGAACTCCACCAAAACAGCTCGGGTCTGAATGTCAAACCAACCGTTCGAATGCAAGTCTGCGACCACAGTGTAGGCTGTGATAGGATTATAACCAAGGTTTGCTACGTAACCGCTACCACTGTACATGGTCAGGGTGCCCCAGTAAGGGAACCCTCGTAGCTCCACCATGCTCTGATGACGCCATCTCTCGAGGCAGGACAAAACTGTACCATCTGGCAATAATGCATTGTCGTTGACAACATAAACTTTCGGTTTTGTGCTTGCCAATAACCGCTTCTTTTTCCTTCTTTTCTTCCCACTCAGTCCTCCCATGATGGGATCAAGAGCTCTCTTGTGTCTGACCGGCGCATTCTGTTCACTTTCAGCTAGGAGTTCTATCCATTCTTTTTCGGTCTCCGGTCCCCTGATATCTCGCCGCTTTCTGGAATTTCCACGGTGCAAAGGTTTCCATCCGACTCCATAGGTAACACCGTCTTCATCACCAACGGAATAGCCATCGTAACAATGTGGAATGATGTCCTCAAAATAACTGGAAACGGGGCATGTATCTGGAAAGTCAAATACACATGCTAGATGTCTTGCTGTAAAGATTTTCTGTTTATTTTTTTCAAATCATTCACCATATTTTGTTTGTCAACTTATTGGTTTTGCAAGCTGTAAAAATACCAAAACATATACCTTCTTCCACACGAAGTAATCGTATTCTCGGGACGCCCACGAGATAATCCTCGTTGTTAGCAATCCAACCTTCTTTAATCTTCCGGCCATTGTACCACTCTGTTGAATACAGTCCGGGAATGAGTGTCTCTCGTGACCACATCCACAGGGAATCTACATCTGAGATCTAAGGTTGTAAAAAATGCATTTAATTCGATAGCAACGCAACATTTCTATTGAATAAAAAGTTCCTGAAGCTTTCCGAATTGCTTCATTCGATTTTTGTGCAATTTAATTGGTTCGACTAAAGACAAAAGTAAAAGTCTTAACGGAAGATTGTCTTAACGCTAGTTTGTCTATTTGTTCGTAATTCCTTTAAGCCTTGGTTTATAGCCATTCTCACGCATATTGCATTTTGTCACATTACCGTAGATAAATCCAACCAAATGCATCCAGTACTTCAAAAGTTTCGTACAAGGTTTTTGTCAACAGGTATGTATTGGGATCCCTGTGGTACTGCGCTACATACATGAGTAAAATGAGGAAGAAGAAAAATGCGAAGATTTCTTTCAAAGCTGCGTTCGTTTTGATCTCCTTTATTCGTTTCTCTCTCGCTTTCTTCAGCTTTTCTGGACTGGGAGGTCTGAAGAGAAGAGAATAAGTATTAACGCTGTCGTCTAAGATTTGTATTATTTGATACTTACAAGCCAGGCTTGTGCTCCTAAACATGAAATTCAAACTAACCTATAGATTTTACTGATGTTTGTCGCGGGCTGGCCAATTGCCTGAATTCTTCTCTCGAGCTCCATCGCGTTTTCACGATGTGTTTGATGCTTCGTGCTTTGCTGTTTAACCACGAGATCGTCGTTACAAATATCCTCTCCATCGCTGGCTTTCTTGATGCACAACGCAATCATGAGGGCAACCAACACCACTTTGATTGGCTGCAGCAGTAACACTGACTGGAAAAATGATGTTACCATGGCAATCACCCATTCGGTCGATGTCTCCTTTCCCCACTGAATACTGTAAAGTAGTGTGAAGAATATCGAAGCGCCTGACGCCAGATAGCAAAGCGCGTACGCAAAGTAGATGAAGCAATGTGGAAGCTTCCCTTGAGGTGGTTGCTGATTTTCCACTTGAATACCATGGACACTCCTTGGGGGCTCTTTGACTGCTTCCACTTCCTCTTTAGATTTTTTTTTCTTCTTTGGTTTTTCCACTTTCGGTCTCAGATTGCGGAAAATTTGCACGATCAGGACATTTACTGGGACGATAATGATACTGCTCTGTAAGCCAATCACAAACGGTTTTAGGTCGATAACCAATGATCCGATGTGAACAGCAAATGGACTTGGACCTTGGCCTCCCATGTTATAAAACATTGCGCTTGTAATCATCGTACAACACAGCAGACATAGGGCGCACGAGAGACGTTGGACACGCGTGAAATTACTAGTTGGAGGTCTGGAGACAATGGAGAACCATAAGTGGCCGTCAGCTAAACCTTTTACGGCTTGTTTCGAGAATACATGGTTGAAGTTTGCCAACTCTTGTTCATTCGAAATTGAAAGAATTCGGCAAACTTTGCCATCACCCGATTCAACTGCCAACCAGTTCTCACAGTTTAAAATCCAGCTTTGGCCTGTTTGAACATCTTTCACGTAGAATCTGCTAAGATACCAAGATGGTGAAGATCCTAAAACGAAAAAAACGAGGAAGAAAATAACATAAGAACAACTTTTACAAATATGTCTTGCCTGACCGGAATCTCTTACCTGAATTATCATGCCAAATTTGAACGTAGTTTAAATCGCCAACACCGCGAGGATAGGAAATCACAAACGTATTGACTTGTCCTCGTTCAAAATACGGCCTTTCACGGTCGTGTAGCCTAACCGGTAGAGTTTCGCTTTCATCTCCTGACATTTTGAACACAACTTTTGCCGTAGTTCCTGCTCCCTGTCTGTTGCCAGTGGCGGTAGTAATAATGTAGTAATATGTTCCTTTTGGTTTGAGGATTGTAGGACCAACCTAATGGTATTTAGAAATTTATATGTTATTGCGTGAATGTCTGTGCCAGAGTTCCTCATCGGAGCATACTTCACGAATGTGTTTTTCGCTGGTTTTATACTGACCTCTGGTATTGCATGGCATATAAACCTGTGTTAGGTTAACAAACACTTACCAACATCTCATCTCGCTTATCGGCTCGTCTCGCCCAAATAACTCCGATGATATACCCGCCAATAATGACTGATATTAAAACCAGCACAGCAACGTTCTCAGCCAGGCTGCCAAAATTGCTGAATGCTGAATCGAAATCAATTGGGTTTGGTGCAACAAGAAGGTCGCTCCCAAACGACGTCAAATGGTTGCAGTAACATACAATCTGCTCTCTGTTCGTTGCTCTATCGACCTGAAGATTATAAGAGTATGCTTTTTAGTTTGAAATGACTAGAAAACTGATTTCTCTACTCTAAAAGCTCGCTTCTTACAGTCGCATGATAATCAAAGTAAACAACTCACCCTACATCCTTCTCCTCTCCACGTTTCGTTCAACACATCCCAAAATATACAGCTCGATTCAAACATCGTCAAGTTGTAGTTTGGAGTTTGATTCGGGAAAAAATATTCTCCATCAAAGCCGAGATTCTCCGCTGAAAGAATGACAAGTTTTCCGTTTGGGGGGTCGGTGGGTTTTGGCGGCGGGGGACGAATGAGGACACACGAACGACGAACACGTCCTGTGCCGACCTCGCACGGAGTTGAACGTCGATTTCGAGAACCGAATGTCGTGTCTGGATTCGGATATGTTTCATTGTGGAACTGTTCGATATGTTGAATGGCTGCAAGGTAAAAAAGACGTGCAGTAAGAACATTTGGTTTTTGTGGCAAGTTGTCTTAATTTCATTGTTCTATGTAAGTGCATGCATCTCCGTGGTTTAACAGTACCAATTTAGTGTCCTAGGTTGAAACACCTTTGATCAGAACTTATTATATCTGTGGAATTTCGTTTGAAAGGGAAGATTTGAATATTTATTTAAGTAAATATTACCGAATACGGATCCCCATGGAAATGGGGACAAGATATTTATCAAATATCTTACCAAAGCAATATTCCCCTGTTCCGTTAAAATCCAGGTTCGATACAAACACTGTGTAAGGATGTGTTGAACAGTCATTTATGTCAATATGAACAGGATCTGAATCATCCGACTTGGATTTATTGACACTGGTATTTCCCACGTTGCAACTACTAAAGTCTGGCAACTTATATGAGAATTCATAATCTCCTTTTTCCACACTTGGTCTACCTCCTCTTTTTAAATACACCTACAACAAAAGGGCGAGAATGCTTCAGTGATACGCTTCAGTCAAATTTAAAATAAAGATAAAGTTTTTAATGGGTTGCGTCGTATCATGCACGCCAAAGATTTGTTCTTACATTTAAATGTACCCCAAGATGATGTGGTTTGATTTCAAAATTCATGGCCGTGTAATTGCTTTTCCGTGTGAAGCAATGAAATTTGAGATATTCCTTCCAATTTTCCGTCAAATTCATTGCACGAGGCTTCATGAAGAAACTGGAATCTTCAGGAAACAGGGACAGATCTCGTAAGATAGTCACGGAAACATCTTCACTCATGTTAGAAGAAGAGATGTTCAGATTCGACTCAACCACAATGTCGATAACGTTCGATAAAACTGTTGAACTGGTGTTATCCCAACTGAAGGGATTTTGTTTGAACGAAACAATCTAAGAAAACAAAAGTTTAGGTGCATGAGAATAGGTAAGAGAGAGAAGGGAAATAGACATATGTTATCCGAGGTCTTGTAAGATCTATGTGTTCTGTCGGTTTTAAAGTAAGCGTTAGCGGGATGAAGAAGCTCCCATATCTTCTCCCATTTATCTAAAAATTAATGTTCTTACCTTGATATCCACCGGTTGCTTCTGTAGAAATGTTTTGTTTGGATTTGAAAGTACTAAAAAATAGAAAACACATTGATTTAAGAAATTGTCATTTGTTTGAGGTTGAATTATAAGTGAGCTATGCAGCCGAAATACAAAGTAAAAAAAATATAAAATGTCATTAATAATCATCAATCACATACTTTCTCCTATTCCGAAAGCATAACCAGATGGAGGTTTAAAACGGCTTCCCTTCAGTTCATTTCCAGTGTTTCCAAGAGTTGTGCCGGTCTTCTTTTCCACTTGCAGTGACAAAGTATCTGTGTCAATAGTGTCTGGACCTTCGTTTGTGACCAAATTGTCCAGCACCACTGACTGCAGGTTTCGTACAACTTTAACAGTGCGATTGACTGCGGACTAATTATAAAAATATTATTATGGAAATGAGGTTATCTTCAACTGACCTAGCGGCAATGGTACTTGTTAGGAGACTAACTGGAGCAAGATGCTGATGTCTAGTGAAAATAGCTTTGTAAAATAATTTCGTTAACGTTCTTTCTTTGACGAGCAAAAATAAAATGACGGTCCTAGCGTAATCGTGTGTAAAATGTCATACCGCTGTCTCGTTCTTGATTGTTGTTGAAATATTACCAGAACCGCCACTAGCAGAAGACACCATTCCACCAAGAACATTTAAAACGTTGCTTGCTCCTGATTTCACATATCGAAATCCCTTGTCATTGTCGGACAAATCTTTTAAACTATCAGTCAATGTATCTGCCATGGAAAATGTTGCATCCTGGATAAAAAAAAGCCCTGAAAATATTATGTACATGATAAAAGAAATATAGCCCGATGAATTGATTGATGGATTGATTATGATTGATGGATTGACAAGAAAAATTGACAAATATTTACCTTTGCTTTTGAAGTTAGCTTATCTGGATTGGCTGCCAATTGAGCAAGAGAACCGCTGAACTGCATCACCCCAGACACATCTTTTGGTTTCATTCCAGAGAGGGATGTTAGGACATGCTCTAAGAGCTTTGGTGAAAATAATATGAATTTCATAATTCATACTAACTACAGTGTTTTCTGCCAGAGTGTTTCGCCTTTTACAGTTTAAAATAAAGAGATTATTAATATCTACACGCCTAAAAACGATTAGCTTGATGCAATATTGATATGAACAGGAGTTGTTATCTACATTGAACAATATTGTCACACTGGATTCATTTTCAACAATATTGTTCAATGTGGTTGACAAGTGTGAATAATAATGACAGCACTGGCAAAATTGCTTCATGCTGATAAACCGCAGGCTCACAGTTTTTAGGCGTGTGGACAATTTATTCTTCCTTATATTCGTGCGTTCGTCAGTACTGAGATCGTTCACGAGTTCATTACGATTTGATGATTTCTCAGTTCAGTTTAAACGCCATCTGCAATATTAGCCCATATTGGTGATTTGATGGCAGCAAGAAGAAAAACCTTTACCTTTTTCTCCTGTTCTTGTTTTTCTGGGCTCAATCCAGTGCTATTTTCATCTCCACTGTCAGGGTCGTCATTGAAAGTGGAAGCGAAGGTGGAGGCCATCCTTAGAAATCCTTCAGAATCACCACTTGCAATATATTCATCCAAACGACCAGAAATTTGATTTGTATCCACAACATTGTTGGGTAGAACCTATATGGTTAATAGCAATCTATTTGGTATACTCTCAGATAGAAGATGGTATAATAACGTGCCTATCTATTGCCTAATGTGAACAAACGCTAATGGGAACAAATGGTTTTCATTTTAAATTAAAATATATCCTCGAATATCATGAACTGTCGGAATATCTAACAATTCTTTTGCATTTTGCAGCCTATTTAATTTATTCTTCTAAATGAATACATTTCAAATTCGTATGTTCAGAAATACTAGAAATAGACGAAACATTCAAAATTTTTACTTTTTCAAGGCCTTTTCTACTGACCTGAATGTCAACATGCTGAACAGTTTTTGATCCGACGGTATCTTTAACAGTGAATTCCACAGTTAACGAATAATTCTTGTTCTTATCCCCCACCACCAGCCAATCAGTGACGCTAATATTTGCACCGGGAGGGTGCGAACGGTGGAATAGCATTGTTTTGCTTTCACTACGTACATAGGAGACCTCGTAAACCAGAGGCGAATCGGTATCTGTCCAATTTTCGCATCTGAATGTGAAGTTGGTCGATAAAGCGACACCGGACAATGGAGATACACTGCATCGGCCTGGAAAAATGCGAATAAAAAATAGCTTTTACACCTAATTTATGCAAATTTGCAGTCAAAATTCTTCAGAATTGATTACAAAATGTTGAACTAACTTGGTTGTTATCAAAGTGGATAAAGCAGAACAGATATTTTCTTACCGCCAGCCGGGGGTGTATTAACAATCACGGTAGTTCTGCATTCGCCATAAACTCCGCTCACACGAGTCGCTCGAAATGCAATTGTGTACTTCTTACCAACTTGCAGCGAATCAGGCTTAATACCAATTTCTAACTCATCAACTGGATTCATCGCCATATTTTGAAAGTCAGCTTCGGGTACCTCAGTCAATGATGAGAGATTGAACGGTTCATGTTGGTTGATATTGTCGTAAAGATACAACGACCAACTAAATGTCAACTCTCCGGCGCAGAACCTGCTGCATTTCGACAACAATATGGTTTTTTCATCTGGACGAAGTTTTGACTCGCAATTCCTTGAACATCTTATTAATTGACAATGAAAAGGCAGGATGTGAGATTTTTAGTACACAAGAAAAAACTTCTTTGGGAAGGGGGGGGGGGGACACCTCAGAAATTGGTGTTTAAGATGTTTGAACCCGAAAGTCCAATCGCAGGTTCACAATTGTGCATTTCTGTACTGCTATCAAAAAGAAACCTTTTGAATATCTTAAAAGTTCAATTTTTCTTCTGAACACATATTCTGCAATCTTTTGACAGCTCATCATACTCATCTGACCGCCGTGAAATGGCCCTTTTGAGGCTAAAGTATGCACAAGGTTATTAATTCAGACAATTCGTTTTTACCATGTGCAAGCTTCAAATCTTTTGTGCAAGACATATTTTCTTGAATATTAAAAACTTTTTTTCTCACCAAGTTTAAAGACTAACGCCTGTATTCTAAAAGCTCACTCACACTCAAACTCATTGAGTGGGAGATCTTAATCTTCTCATCAAGTTTCAATGGCGGTATTTCCAGCCGAACAGGGGCTTGATTTTCAGTGATTTACCTTATATCTTTCCATCTATTAAGAAAAAACTTTCTCATTGATTAGCATTAACGAAATTTATATGTCACACTCAATGAGTATGAGTGTGAGTGAGCTTTTTGAATACAGGCGTAAGTGTTGAGAATTTGGCTAAGATTATACCAATTCCGGCGATGTCGGAGGGGGGTTGGCTGCTGACAACAAGAAACGCTTGATGAACTTACATAGTTGCGAGTACAGGAGGGAATCCCAAAGCGACCTGAAGGTAGATGGTGGTCATTGCTTTACGTTGACCAAATTCTGGGTGTGTTGTCGATACTACCAATAAAATTTCGTATCTTGAGATAAAGTTGAAAAAAAAAGCAGTTATTATATGTTATCAATGATCCAATGTGAATGGAAATCCTTCTGCAATTCTATCGTCATTAAGGAGGCTGCTCAACCAAAGGGTTGGTGCCTGGTGGGGACTGTAAAGGCTGATCAAAACACTGTATACGTGTTACGTCTTATATAGACACACTGTGACTATGTCTATAACTTTTCGCATCGGCATGTTTGAGAGAGAAATGCTTCTCAAAGAGGCTTAAATTATTTAATCATTTTCGAACAATTTCATCATGGGAAAAGTTTACAATTACACTGAGTGAACTAGCGTAATCGTGAAGACTGTTCTGAATTAGGCAGCGTTTTGTGAGTGGAAAGGACATTTGGACTAATTCCATCTCAGAAGAACAGCCGTTTAACCGAAAATCACAATGCTAAACTTACGCTTTGCCTTCAATCATCACATTTGTGTCCAGGATGAGAGTGGAATTGGAAGTATCGATGCGTCCACGACCAGAGCCAAAACACCCAGACTGTTATAAAAGGAAATTGTGAGACGGGAGCATAATCCGCAGCTGTTAAGGCAATCGTAATCTTGTTTTGGTTGCATAGACAGTTTTCATTGCCAGAGCACTGTTTTTATGTCAATGCACAGTTAATAGAATATATATGGTTTGGAGACCACATAAAACCAAAACTCGTTAACTATGTTGAGGTACATTTATGCAAAAAATTGTTCACAAGCGCTTTGTTTACATTTTGAATTCGTATATTTTTCCTAAAATATCAAGAAGAACTTTCAGAATTTTTGACACGCTTCTGTTCAAACATATTCGAAACATGTGAATCAGTCCTCTTATTGTTATGAGCAGAACCGATGCGCAGAAGCGACGGTAACCCCGCTTAATTTAAAAGTATTCTCTCAATTAACCAACCGTGACTTACTGCATTCGCACTAGCGTCTTGCGATCCAACAACATCACGATCAGAAACGACAGGTTCCTGAGTGAGAGTTGCCTGGTTGAACTCAGCATCGTCATCAATATCTTTACAATACCAGACGAAGTTCATTCCATCGGTACTGTCAAAATCAGGATCTACTGACGCCGAACTATCCAAAGTTCCCTGAAATTAGAAAGGTTCCCTCTTGATATTAAGAAAAAATGACAGCCGAAAACGTGTAAGAAAAGTGAAGAAAAATGAAAACTGCGCAAGAATTTAACTAAAACTTGACGTTTCATAAGACAGAATGTAAAAAATAATAGAGTTGAATTACAATTTACCGACGCTGACGGCATGCTTGTTGTTTTTTAAACAGACATAAGGGTGCCTAGTTTTCTTTCCAATGTAATGGGAAATGTTTTAGATCATAGTTGGAATGCCCCAAGTTTACTAAAAGATTCCAGCCTATTTCTCTTCGTATTTAAGAATGGACTATCGCGCAGCCGGAACCGCACGGTAATATTGGTTTTCACAGGTGGATTATTGCCCTTACCAAAAATCCAAATATCACGGTATGAAAAGACCCATCATTCACAGCGGCCTGGATCCACGGGGTCTGCACAACCTGAATAATGGTCGAATCTATTCCAAACACGCCTGGGACACCTCTCATCTCCACACGGGCGCGAATCTCGTAATAGCCGTAAGGTAAAAATCTCCGAGCAAGCTGAAGTGCCGAGGTATCGTTTACCGTATGAAACAGAGTCTTCCTCATGTCTGCGACAAGAACGTCGCTCGGAGTTGTGCGTGGATCATCCTCGAGTTTTAAAAGTGTCCAACTTGTCTTAGTTTGTTCTGTGATTTCACAAAATACTTCGTTTTCCGTAAACAGGCTAAGAATATCAGAACGATAGACTTGAGGGGCATTCAAAGCATTGGAAGAATTCGGAGACAAACCTGAGAAATGAAAAATGAATTAGCTTTGAATTAAGTGCATCTGAGTACGCCTATGATGTATCAATATCGGCGCGGTCTTTTGTATGGGACTAGGTTGTTGGTTAAGCCTACAGCCACAGTAGCCCTCAACCTATGGCCGAGCCATAGCGGCTCAGAAGTGTGCGTCCAGATCTGTGGCGCTCGCGCCAGACATTATAAGATGTTGTAATAACTAATAAAATATGATATGACCGAAATCTAAAACTCGAAACGCGCTGCTGGACTCGTGTTCTAAAGCCAGACCATGAGTTTCATCAGATGGCGTATGCAAACGGCAGCAAATCGCTAAAAATTGGAAATTTCGTAATTGCAGTCTCCGCTGACCGCTGTCATGACCACAGAATAGATTCTGAGTCATGGCCATTATTGAACAACTATTTGATTGTGGGGAAAATTGGTGTAGTCACAAAATGAGAGGCAGAGCTGCGTACCTTTGATGGTGACGTTTGGGTACTTGCATACAAAGGGCAGCACTGCAGCTACCGTTTCACGGGAGACCGAGGAAACAGCATTTGACGCGTACAATCGAACGTCATAGTCGCCAACTTGTGAATAAATATGATCAATGACGATGCTCTGAGTGTAAACAGCGTACAAGGAGGTAAACAGGGTACGAGGTTCCACCGCTATATGCGGATTAATTGAGTCGACATCAAGCGAGTCAGGACAGGAATTGCTGCTACCAAATACTCGTAGAGGACTATTGTCTCCCATGTCGACCCACAAACATGTCTGAGTGCCGAGTTTTTCAAATTCAATAGTGAATCTTATAGTTTGGTTCATTTTACCAGGTCCATTGTTCGACAAGTCCTTTAACTTCACGCTTTCATACAATTTAAATTCACGAACGACAGCTGAAAGAGTTTAGAAAGAAGTGTAAGATGGAGTAAGCTATTTTATAAGCCTTTTAAAGAATATTATCACAAGTCTGGAGAAGATTTATCTAAATATACAAAATATATTGTTGTTAAAATAAAAGGTATTGTTTGAGATTTTTGTGATCTTTTACCGTGTAATTTAACCCTAATTTGAAGGCTCGAGGCATCGCATGCAGAAATAAAATATATGTGTGATGGATATAAATTATATTCAAGTTTTCCCACTATCGTTAAATCTGATGGCATAGTGCTTTTTTCGTCACTCTGTTTTTAACGTTTTTTTGAACATCGATCGCTAAATAGCTTCTAAAACAAATGACATACTCGGGCACTGGAATTTTTAGTTAAAATACGTATGAGTGATAAATAAAATGCAATTACTTGTGTTAGAGATACTGTTCGTCAGCTTCATTTCAAAAGCGCACTCCTGGCTAACTGCTGAGGAAAATGTCTTCTGAAAAGCCTGTTCGGTTTCTGCAGGAATTGTTTCCTCAGAGCATGAAAACGACCATTGCAGAGTGGCTGGCCCTCCTGAGTACGAACCATTGAATTCTACTGGATATTCTGCAGGAAATATATTCCGTTCCGGTCCTGCTCCCTCAACTCCTGAGCCAAATTGAGAGTACGTTGTCAGTATCGTGAAATTAGCATCTTTGACTTTCTTTAATACCTATGAGAAAGCATGAATTTTGTGTGAAATAATCTTTTTGTTCAGAGATGGCAAAAAAGACAACTCGGTTTTGTGCACCGTTTGTAATCTCATATGGACTGAGCTTCGAGCAAATTGTTTTAGTCAATCCAATACGTTTTTAAGTACACTAAATAAAGTCTAGATCTTTTTTTCCGAAAAGAACGGAAATTTTTTAAAGGTTCTAAATATATTGAAACAAACAATCCTATTTGCATAGGTGCGAAAAATCGCATTTTATAGACACCTTCAATTTTCAAAGTACTTTCTTACTCAACCGAATACTTTCAATTTTCTTAAACGGATCTAAACAATTATAGCGATAACAATATGAAAGGCAATCTGGAAAGCCGGCTTTTAAAGATTAAATTTAGGAAGAGTTTTTTTGAGTAACGATGCATTTAAAGTGTTAAGGATTTCTGCTTTCATTGCTTCTGCTTACATCCAGTTGATAACCGTGTCTGGACCACTGATTTGGTCTGGACGTATTCTTTCTGCTTTTCAAAAAAAACATTCTAGCTTATATGTGGTATAGCTCTATATCCATTGTATTACAGTGGGGTTCACTAGAGCAAAAACCTAAACCTCTCGCTAAAGACCTTTCAACTTAGACTGTATTTTCTGTTAATGCAGAGATAAAGGCTTTCTGAAAGAAACATTAAATACGCAATCATTGGATCATCACTCATTACACCGATATTAATCATAAATGCAATGCGAAATACCTCGACATCAACTGATTCTGTTAGCGGACCAGAAATTCGGTTCCAGGTTGTCACGGAGATGTTCACCACACCGTCAGGATCAAAAAGGTTTGGATCCGTAATAAGACAATCGCATTCGCCGGTGGAGTTTGTGAGTGGTCCCGCACTGCAGCATGGGATACTGTTATACGTTACATTCACACTCACATTCACACCTGAAGTCATCGCCCAAATGACTGGAATGCTTTTACTGAATTCTTTACTCGTTATTGCGTACACCTGAAAGTTCTCTATCAATTCCTTTACTAAAGAAATCATTAAAAATTGGATTATTAATAAATGATATTGTCATTTAAGCTAAGCTATAAGGGCGATTACGCATGCTAAATTATGGTGCTTAATATTATGTTTATGTTTGTGTTTATGTTTCTACTTGTTTACGAAGTACGCATGATTCCTGCCATGTTACGTGTGACCTCGTTCGAATCATAATAATGATACGAATTATTTTTATTGTTTCGATATTTTTGACTATACTTTTACTATTCTTTTTACTTTCTAAAAATGAGAATTGAAATTTCTTTTTTTCTTCGGAAGAATTATATTTGCACTAACTTTCACAGTCGCGACCAGCGAATCCATGGAGACAAGAACACTCATAGTTTGCAGGGATTCCCACACACGTCCCATTGTTTTGACACGGACTATTTCCACAGAGATCAGCTAAAATAGATACATTAGTGATGATGAGTGCGGTAAAATACTATCATTGTGTTAAACCAACTTGACTGTGTTAGAATATTATGATTGTAGTAAACTACCAATGTTAGTGGTAGATACTATGATTGTGGTAAATTAACATGATTGTGGTAAACACCATAATTGCGGTGAACTTACTAGTATTTAGATTTGAATGTAGCAAAATTTAAAATAAATTCTTAATTATTATAGTATGTCTGTGATATTTGAAATAAGCTAAATAAATATGGATCACTTGCTTTGACAATATTGACCGACGAAGCCGTCTAAACAGGTACACTTATAGGACGAAGCAAGTCGCACGCACGAAGCACCATTCACACATGAATGACTATCACACACATCATCTGAAATGAAATAAAATTTTTCGTCTTTATAGAACTACAGTGGTATCCCGGCGATCAATGGGCGCGCATGTTATACAAAATAAATTGAGATAGATGAATAGACTTGCCTAATATCTATCCCTTATAGGGATATGAAAATTTTGTTGGTATCAGTTAAACCCCTTTGAATACAAAGATTGAATAATCCTACCTTGTCGGTAAAACTGTACAAGTCGGTAAAAAATTCGTTGTGTCATCCAGCTTCTTAGTACCGATAGGATTGGCCATAATTATCATGTATTACAGAATTAAATTGGGACATTAAACCGAATACTTACTTTCACAAAAATCACCGCTGAATCCAAACAGACAGTTACAACGCTGGGTTACATCTGCCGTCTCCACACACGAACCGTCATTCTGACACGGGTTCACAAGACAGTAGTTAACTAATAAGTAAAATGATATTTTTGATATTTCTGTAAAAATTATTATTATAGTTTTATTTGAATGTTATCGTGTTTGACTCCCGGAGTCCGTTAGTTGACTCTCCTGGTTATGTTAACGTGGTTAATTTTTACGGAACACGGTCAGCATTCTGTTTTTGGAACATTGTCGTTGCATGCGATAGACCGCTGATCACAAAACATACACTCACCCCGTGCACTTAAGGAGAAAAATTCAAATTTACAGGCCGAAGAAAGGGAGCTTGTGGGCAATCTAAAGGGGGGGGGGGGGTATGCGGTCTGGAACACACGCATTTTTTAATCAGACTAAATTTTTTTAAACCAAGATGCTATTAGAAGGTAATGGCTTAAAACAACTAAATTATACTTATAAAATCAGCAAATGACTAGATGTACATAACTGAGTTTAACCGAACAAAATTTTCTTGCCTCCAAATTAACTATTAGCTTAGAGGGTTTTAAACGTTTAGCTGTACTATCGCGGAAATCTGTCCAACAACGAAAACCTCTTTTATTTAGAGTCTCTTTGAATCCATGAGCCAACTAGAGCTAAATCATGATGAAAAATAAAAGATTTAGAAACGTACCGCTCTGACATCCATAGTACTCCATTCGAACATGAAATTTGGAAGTCTTTAATGTTGGGTAGAATCTGACATAGCGAGCTACAATGCTGGGAATAAAAGTGTTCGACACCGGTGTGTATGTGCTGACCTCAAATGTCTAGAAAAAGTAGAAGTAGATCAGATCAGATTAGATCAGATGAGGTACGCACTTACGTTTTTATTGCATGAACAGCCTGGCTATAAGGAGTAAAACTGACGTAACCTTTACATTTGATATTACACACATATACGATATATATACACTGGTAACTCATGTATACGCCTAATTTAAAGGGCTGCCCTTCAAGGCGCAAGGCCCTGCTGCCAAACTACGAGACCCGGGTAAAAATTGATTTCAGAGCAAGCAAAGAATGGTTGGTAACATCCTGCATCAATCAGTTTCAAGATGATTCCCTCTCACCACTTCTCTTTCAAATGTTTTGTATCTTGTGAACTGGTGGCCATTATCGCCGAAATGGATTTGGAACTTCGCCACATATTGGAGTTGAGTACCTGATTTATACCCTTGAGTTTTTATTGAAGTCACTGTCGTTCGGACCTTGGAAAACGAAAAAAGAATGCGAAGAATAGTTGGGAATTAGTTTTCGACGATCAAGTGAAATCCCCGCAAGGTTTTCGTCATCGATTGTGATCCGTCGACGGTCGACCGTCGACACGGATGCGGGCAATGACTATAGTCATTGACTAGTTAAAAACCTCGTTACTTTGCATAAATTCTCTTCGTTGTCGTCGGCAAAAGACAATTGATAATATAAGGGGCTGTTTACGACCTCGTTTACGTATACACTAAAACGAAAGTTTCCGGATTCATCAGGAAAGCAGAATGTTTTAGTACCGGATTCATGTTGCTGTTTACACACGCAGCAACGAATCCGATAGAAAATGTACTCGGTTTTAAGCCGTATCCGGAAACTTTGAATCCGTAAAAGTTTGTGGAAACTTCGTTTCCAGAAACATTTGAATCCGGAAAATGTTCTTGTGTAAACGCTTTGCACGACGAATCTGAAGAAATTCAATATGACGACCAAACAATTCTCCAAGAACAAGTCATGTGAGTGTAAACGGACAAATCCGCATATAGAGACAACTAAAGTGTAGTGTAAACATCTGACGAATCCGATACATGTGTGTAACAATGAATCCGGATAATTTTACAAATCCGGAAACTTTCGTGCTAGTGTAAACGGGGTCTACATGAGCCCGGTTACCCGAGATTCAACGAAGCGTGAGGTGATTTGTAGGTATTGAAATGAGCAGATAACATGATCCTAGCAGTCGTATAATCACCACAACAATAGCATGTGCTTGTTTGGTGTCATAAAGACTTATTTCAATACCTCAAAGTCCTCTCATGCTTCCGCGTTGAATCTCGGGTAACCGGGCTCATGTAAACAGCCCTTAAGGACAGTCATTTCTTTCCGGTAGATAATGGTTCGGGTAAATCTCTAGTGGTGAAGTTAAATTTTCACATTTCAAACAACCCAGAACCAACTGCGCACAGCTTAATTGCGAGCAATGAAAAACATAGTTAAGGTAAAATTATAGTAAATCTTTACACCAAAGTGAATCGTATAGCTATGTCAATTTTTTGCACTGCATGCATGGGTATCGAGCCATGTTTAAATGCAAGCTATACCTTGAAGTCAACTTGCAACCAACAGTTTACACAAGTAAATCCGTTCGAGGCCCATCCTGTGACACGATTTAATCTGGAAAACATAGGGTTGTACCCAACTTCATAACTTGAGGATTTAATTTGTCCATTTTTTATACCGCCAGACTGCATTCCCAATGCAATTGGAGTCGAGCAATCTATAAACGGAATACGCAGTTATTCTTTGTCCTCTATAGAGTTATGCAACATATCCAATTTCCTGATAACACCAGAAAAGAGGAGATGAGTTTCTTGTCTTATCCATACAATGAATGCATAAGATTAGGATCGAATATTGAACCTACTTTGACAAAGGTTTCCGGTACGGCTACTTCCACAAGTGCACGAAAAACCGTCGTTTATTACGTTACAGGAGGCATCATTCAAGCATGGATTATTAGGATTGCAAGCTGGAACGAGATGAAACATAGAATTTAGTAAGGAATTTAAATGGTATCTTGTCAAAGCAAGGAACTGACCGTCGTCTTTGACGTTGCACGCATAAAATTCTATTCGCAACGCCTTCTGTCCTTCGAACTGCTTCGGATAGATTTTCACAAAACGGGCTGTTATGTAAGGCTTGAACGTGTTTCGAACGATCGAGTTATCGTCATAGTTCCCAGTGAAAATCTAATTCACATTTAAGAAGATATATATTGATATATACACATGAAGAGGAAAATTGAGTACACGCAGACTTACCGATGCACGGAGAATGTACAGTATCAATAATATCATATATACACTTAATGTGTGCTCCCGAGGGAAATAGCGGGTTCCCCCAAGAGTCTGAATGTTTCCCGAGACGAAGCCGAGGAAAACAAAATTCACTATTTTCCTAGGTGTAGCGAACATTAAGTGTTTTGTTATATAGGAACAAAAACATACATGTTAAACAACAATTTCCGATTAAAAAAAGGCACTTTACTTTGTTATTACAATAATTATAAGGGCAACAATTTTTCACTTGTCTCCCTGGCGGGAAAGATTGCATTTATTTAAAGTCATGCATGTGACTACGAATGAACCAATCACATTTAAGATACACCCCCCTCGCCCCCGTAAGCAAAAGGCAGCTGCCTACGGCCCTACGCTGCCCCGTGGTTTCGGCGCCTCAATCATAGCAATTGAATAGCGATAGGATAATGTTCTATAAAATAGTAATTTTCATTTGTTTATTATGCGAATTAATAGAAAAAGGGTATATGATATAAGGAAACTAATGCCGAACTGAAGGATAATAATATCGCATTAATCTTATATAATCTTAGGATCTTATAACGCATTGCATTCAAATCTACGATCGTTTGCAAAAGTATGTAAGTTCAACTTAGAAAAAGTTTTCGATGTAGCGGTGCCATGCAATGGAATCGTCTCTCTTAGGATACTCAAA